TTGAATCCTGACAATAAGGTTGCTAACCATGACACCTCACTGCCTTAATGACAGTTCTCATGAGCCTCAGTATGAAGGTGAAATTCAAAGCACATTCCCTGGCCTAAACTATCATAGTTAATCTTGGACTGGGGTGGAGATAAACAGAAAGACCTTGAAAACATATGCTTTATCCCTGACACACACACACACACACACACACACACACACACACACACACACACACACAACTATTTAAGAGCAATGTGAAGGAAGTTCAAAAGTTTCAAAAGAGAAATCCAATTTCTTAGTTGCTATGATCTGGGGGTACAAGGATGAAAAAGATTGATGATGCATATGCATTCTTGGAAAACTTTTTTTTCCTCAAGAAAAATTAAAAAGTGGTGAGGTGCAGTGACTCATGCCTATTATCCCAGCACTTTGGGAGGCCAAGGAGGACCGCTTGAGCCCAGGAGTTGAAGACCAGCCTAGGCAATGTAGCAAGACCCTGTCGCTACAAAAAATAAAAAAATAAAATAAATTTTAAAAAAGCTAGTAGGGTGGTTGAGGTGGAAATGTTGCTTGGGCCCAGGAGTTTGAGGCTGTGGTGGTGAGCTAGGTTCAAGTCACTGCACTCCAGCCTGGGTGACAAAGGGAAAACTCCTTGAAGGAAGGAAGGAAGGAAGGAAGGGAGGGAGGGAGGGAGGGAGAGGGAGGAGAAGGGGAAGGAGAAGGGGGAGGAGAAGGGGGAGGAAGGGAGGGAGGGAGTGAAGGGAAGGGGAAGAGGAAGGGGAAGCAAATGAAAACAAAAAAGACACTGGACTTCAGGAACTTAAAGCTAAAACACACCTTCGAGCAATGTAATACAAACTTTGCACTTTTAAAAAGAGGAAGCAATCACCCAAATGTTTAGCCAAGGTAATAAGATTTAGTAGCAGAGCTCCTAATTTCTGGTTTAGGGTATTTATCACTTCCCTCATGCTTACAATTTAAGAGGAAGTGTTCAATGAACTACTATTTCAGATACCACCTAGCTAGTGTTTCAAAAGTCTACTCATATATAGATTGTGAATTCCTGTGAAAAATTGCTTTCCAAGTACCAGGTCAGGCCCCCAAAGCCTGCCTAGTACCCTGATAGCTCCACTTCATATACACATTTTACCTAACTTTTACATATAATATCATTTTTGTAACAAAACCCATACCCGCTCTAAATTCAACCTGAAACACTGGACTCCAGGGTCTATATTTTATGTAGGGCCTGAGTCACTTATAAAAAGAGGCTTTCTCTGCCTCTCCAAACAGACAGATGTGGTGGTGATGGTAGTGGAGTGGGGGAAGGGGGGAGGGAGAGAGAAGATTAGGGAAGAGCTGGATTAACACCCTTGGGTATTTGCACCTCACTCTTGTACTAAATACAGAGGGTAACTACAGAAGTCAAACATGCTTCAGATGTCAAAGAAAGAGGGTAACTGCTTCCCTTGGCCTCCTCCCACCCCATTTCGTGAGAAGCATATCATTCAATATCTACAGGGAAGGACTGGCACTCACCCAATCACCAGGCATTATTGAGGTTGAGGTGAGTGGACTGCCTGAGCCTGCAGGTTTGAGACCCGCCTGGGCAGCGAGACCTCATCTCTACAGTAAATCAAAAAATCAGCTGGGCATGGTAGCATGCACCTGTAATTCCGGCTACTCAGAAGGCTGAGGTGGAAGGATCGCCAGAAGGCTGAGGTGGAAGGATTGCTGGAGCCCAGCAGGTCGAGGCTGCGGTGGCTGGGAGCGGCCACTGCACTCCAGTCTGGGCGACAGAGTGAGACTCCAACTCAAAAAAAAATTTTAAAAAGCCTCACAATGACATGACTTAAAATAATCCAGATACTTCTGTATTTTAATTTATATATTTTATAGTAATAAAATTTCACAATACAATCCCTAATGAAATTTTATCAGCTGCAATGAATCATTATATATGAATCATAATAAACTAATGTTATCAAGACTATGTATAGTAAGATGATCAGTGATGTAGCCAACATTTATTGGTAGAGCAAATAAAAGTAAACCTAAATAATGAAAAGGAAAAACAACTTAGGCCAACAAAAAATGAAATGCCTACAACATTTCTAGGTTTAATTGATGAGCACCTTCATGTAACATCCCTAGTTTAGTTATGGTAACACAGCCTCCCCCTTACCCCCCATCAAGATAATTCCACTGAATTATTAAAATGACAATGTGAGAAACATCTGAATGTTGCACAACTTCTCAAGTGAAACCAAAAGGACACGAAATATTGCTCTTGGCAACTTAGGGCCTGATTCCCTTACCTTAAAAGGACCCTGCTATTTCTTACCACTGAGCACCCAATTGACTTGATGACTGGATCACCACTTCCTGGCAGTTTAGGAAGACTTACATCCAGGTTTCTTTAAAGTTTTCTTTCCTTTCTCTCTCTGCTTGCAGCTATTTGTAGTTATAGTCTGCCTATAGTTATTTAATTCTCCAAACATAACTAGTCCACTAGTGTTATGCTTCAGATTCATCTTCCTCCTTGAGTACAGGAAGAGCACTACACAACCATTTAACACAATGTAGGAGTAATTATCTCTCTGTACGCTTGAAGGCATAAAGGTAACTTCCCAAAGTGGCATAAAATTCCATGGTATTTATGCCTTAGAATAACTTTATAATAACTTCTACTTTATCTTCCAATTAGAAATGAAGATATGATGCCCATTTTAGAATTAAGAAAGGTGGAGAGTTATCTCGTGACGTGGAGAGTTATCTCTTGAAGTGAAAAAAAAAATTAGATTACAGAGCATTCTCAAAATATCTTGATATTTCAAAGGAGTCAGGTAAGAGACTAGATTTACCAGATGGTTGGCATCATACAGGGTATGAAAATTCTTTATTTGAATCAATCCCTGGGTAGCAACATGGAAATTATTCAGTTTGAAACCTGGCAATGATTGGGCTTTTAAAAATTAATTTAAGTGAATTACAAATGTTTACATTAAAATATGCTTTGCTTATTTGTATAGATGAGAAAAGAAAGGAAATTGTAATTTTGATTGAATATAGACCTATCTAAATACTCAAGGTCATACAATTGCTAAAGTTTTTATTCAACTGTAATTGGTAGCACTTTCTTTACATTCATATTAATCAGAACTATCAACAGAATTAGACTTGGTTTACTCAGCTTGTAAATAAATAATTGTTGCAATAATATATAATTTATTTTTCTGGTTGAATACCAGCTACCCCTACTGTCTTCTTCCCTTCTCTTATGCTTTCTCTCACTAGCCTCTGCTCCTGTATCTCCCTTGGTAAAAATTAAGACAAGTAGATAGTTTATCCAACTTAGACTCTTTAGGATGATATATAAGACACCAAATGCAGCACCCTCTCCTTACATAATGGTAGGGGGTAGGGAGGGAATGTACTTTGGTCAAAATACAGTTTATATTGTTTTCATATAGAATGTATTTCTAACTGAAAGCTTATCTTTACCTGAAGCAGGTAAAACTACTTGCACAGCCAATCATATATACATGCAGTCTATATTGAACATGTTTTTTCAACTTCTAATGCAGCAGAGAAACTAAATTTGTTTTTACTTTCTAATCTTGAAGCTAATCAAATATGCCGGGGTTGAAATCTCCTGTAATATGATATTACATAATAAAAGTTTCCTGTTGGCATTTACAAACACCTCCAATATCGTCCATAATATTACTGAACACAAATTAGAAGATTCAACCTGAAAAACAATGTAGCGACCAAAAGAACCTTCTGAGTGAAAAGTATTTTTTTCTATTATTTCCTTTCCGTTGGGTCCTTAACTATAGGTTCTCATCATATACTTTTCAGTGCCCTTGATCCACACAAAGTAGGTATTGGAAGCCAGCTGACTGGTCAGAACTGATTGGTTGGACATTTGGCTTATTATTTTACTGATTCTGATTAAAAAAAAATAATAACCAGGTACAAAGAGGTTTATCATAAATGTAACCTCCAAAGCAAACTGTGTCAAATGAAAGCACACATAGTGTGTTTTTCAGCATACGGGAACATTTATATCAGACACTGGTGTTCTCATTTTCATATTGCTATTTTCCATAACTGTTTCACAGGCACCAGAAAGGAAGATGCTTCTATGGCAATATACTGCATTAAAAAAGAGAGACGTTCTACTTTCCCTTTAAAAAATAAAAAGAATCTAAGCCTAATTCTAGAGAAGCATGTTCTGCCAAAATATTGCTTTTCTGTGTTAAGAAAAATACAATTTGACCAAAAATGTATACTAACCATTATTGATTTTACACATATATAAAATTACCATTCTTTAGAAGTTGTAGGCTGCATTTATATTTTTTTCCCCAAACTCAGTAACAAAGAAAAAGAACTAAGACCTCCACTAATGAATTACATCTTGAAATATACATGATTGTGGTTGTACCGATGTTACTTCCAATGGTAACTGACACGCCCCGAATTTAACTGTACCAGACAGTTCTATCTGTCCCATCGCTGACCAAACAGTGCTTCTCTGTTTCTATTCATTATGTACTATACGAGGTCTAAACACAGACTAGTATGACAAGGAAAAAAATTACACTTCTTATGACAGCAAAGTGATGCATTCAAGATCTCTCTTGCAGCACATCCCTGTCCAAGAGCACTAACAGTCATATTTATTTATTTGATAGAGCTAAAATATGTTGGCTGCAAGCTCCTTACTCTAAGAACCATCGGACCCCCTGTTCCTGCCGGTTTTCAACAAACCAGAGTAAAAACTAGGCACTACCCAAACCCTGGAAATCAAACTTACAAAGAGCCTTGAGCAACGATCAATAACCTTGGCTACATCATCATCGGCCCCAAATTCACGGTCCTGAAGACCAATGCAGCAAAAACCGAGACGAAAGGGCTCGCTGGAGCCCCAAAGAACTACTGCGCCTCCCCCTCCGCCGCCCTCTCTGCCGCATGGAGAGAAGCAATGGAACGAGGCTCACCAGCTCCGAAGATGCTCCGGTGACCTCTGGCTGCACGGCGAGAGCTGGGCCGGGAAGGCGCTAGTGCAGCCGCGGAGGGTTGTGTGGACTCTGCCCCTGGTGCATTCCTCGCATTCCTGCACAATCTGTCGCCAGCCCAGGAGCCGGCAGCGCGCGTCCCCCCCTGGACACACACACCTGACTATTGCTGCGCTCCGAGCGGCCACGGCCGCCGCGGCGCCTCCGCTGCCCGCGCTCGCGGTTTGTCGCACTCAGCCAACACGCAGCCCGATCCCGGCACTGCCGCGCACCCCCTCGATTCCCGCGTAGGGGAAAAGGGGAGAAGGCCGGGCAGCCTCAGCGGCGAGGAGGGACACCCGATCTGCCAGGGGGGTGCCGCAGCTCCGCTTCAACTCCTGGCAGCGAGAGGAGGAAGCGGCGGCGCAGGAGGGCAGCCGGGAGGCTCGGGGCTGGGGAGCAGGGAGGGGTGGAGCGCGAGGATACGCGGCTAGCGGAGAGGGGCGCGCTGGACAGAGGGTGGGCAGGACCGGCAGGAGTGCGGGACTTAGGCTGCAAACGCGAGACGGCGCGGGCAGCAAGGGCGTGGGAGGAAAGGGAGAGGGTCAGGATGCAGGGTCCGAGGCTAGAAGGACGGAGAGACAGCCCCGAAGGCTGGGGAAGGAGGGCGCCCGGGAGTGCTGGGGGCGCGGGGCGGCGCGCCAGGCGAGCGGGAGCAGGGACGCCGCGCGGCACCCGTCCAGCAGGGCTCGGCACGGCGCGCAAGTTCGGGGCTGGGGGGCTCTGGATCCGAGAAGCCCAACGTGGGGAGGGGCCGTGCGCGGCGTGGGTAGGAGACCCGAGGAGAGTAGTCGCCGGGAAAAGCAAATGGAGGGTGAAACTTGTGCGCCTGCCGGGGGGAGGGGAGCAGGCAGGCGAGTGCGGACAGGAACACGAGGCGGGGCAGGAAA